AGGGTGCGACTATGCAGACGCGAGCGAGCGAGAATATGTGGCGAGAAGAGGCGAGACGCGATAAATATCAAAACCTGTCAGATATGTGCGAGAACCAGAAATTCGCTCTCACCAGCGTTACTTCTCACTTCTCGTTTGTGCATGGTTTTCCTTTGCGAAAACTAAATCGCTTGCAACCTCTCGCTCGCTCTAAATTCGCGTCTGCATAGTCGCACCCTTAGGCTTGCATTAGGCACCAAATTATATAGAGTAGTCCTGGAGGGTTTCTTTGCTAGTCAAAAACATAGATACTATAGCCTGTTTACTACAAAATGATTGGCAAAATACAAGAATATTTATTATTATAAAATTAAAATTCTATCTTTTTAAAAATTCATCGTCAGAGTAAACTCATTCTGAAATATCTATCTTTTGAATACTGGGCATCATCTGGCCAAGATTTGTGAAACAAACTGTACTACAATTACTTGTCTTCAATGATAAAATACTCTTCCACAATTCATCACAGATAATCGGAATCTTGGTTAACGGACTCTACTGTATTATTAAAAACAGTTTTATGTCTGTTCATTACTTGAGACATTATTTTTGCCTTGCAAAACAAAACCATTAAAAAGAATTATTTAAAATTATACTGTTTTCTTTCCCTCTTTCCAGTGTTCTATCTTCTTTATTCTCAAATTCTGCTTGTCATGTTTCTTTTTTCCTAAAGTTTCAATCTCAATACAGTAAAAAATCAGTTTAATGTGCCTTAAGAGTGCATGCTGCTTAAGACTTTGAGTATGTGTATTGTTTATAATGTACCGGGTATTGTGATGTGTGATGTAATTTATGGAGAGTACAGTTTATAATGTAACACACCCCATTTCATTCGCTCCTACTGATCTACATAACACTCTAAACAGCTAAATAGTGAATCAAAGGAATTATGAATTTTGAAGTTGATTTGATATTAAGAATTAAAAAATTTTAGACAAATCAGTTTAAACCTTGTTAATGTTTTGTTCGTTAATACTGTATTAATTTATTATTAATCTGTGTTGTGTGTCCTGTTCCAAATGTACAGGACACTCAGGCAGTCTGTAAAGATTTGAAAACTGAGTCACTTGTCCAACATTCAGTTCTGACAGTTAATAACATGTCAAAAGAACTATTGAAGAGGAGAAGGACCGCAATTTCCTTGAAACATTGAAATCTCCCATAGTTGCAACCTAATAGATTCCATGAAATGTTAAACATAATGTTCATTTTAATAAGTTAAAGAAAATTTTGAGACGCAATTAATTATGAAAATTTCTTCATCCTCAGGAAGAAAAGTTCCCGGATTGCAACGCATGCATTGCAGTTACAAAGCCGATTGGCAACTGATTCCGAGGGACGAAGAGGAGAAGTATTACTCGCAGCCCGTGGAGGAAGTTCCCGTAAGAGTCAGACCCAAATATAAACTGTTGCCTCCCGTGATGGAGATGTCACTGAGACAGCAGATGCAGATGAAAGGTAAAAAGGTAGAGGACGAACTGAAAATGGAAATGGTATACAAAGAAGATATCCGGTTTTACAGGGTGGAAACAGTGGAAGAGAGGCCCCTGCCGTCGTCTTACGCGTCTAGTTTAAAACCTGAGTTTCTAGTTGGGATTAAAAACATAGAGAAGTGAGAAAAACATTTACTATAAATGGTAGATATGTATTGCCATCATACAAAGTTGTAAATAAAACACAGATTTTGAATTAGAAACGTGTAAAATCTTAAATTTAATATACAGATGCCCCCGATTGTCAATTTTACAAATATAAAAATAGGAATTCTTAAAGCTGGGGCTTGATACAGAGGGGTCAACCTATGCACTCTTCCAGTAATGGAGGAGTGTTAAGCTTCTGTAATATTCATATGTTATAGAAACTTAAAGCATTCCATTCGTAAAGTTTAGAATTTCGTGTAGTGTAAAATTTAGTCAGTCCCCGTCCGTTGCTGGAAGGGTGCGTAGGTCGATCCCGATACGTATAAAAAGAAAATTACAGAATTTTCCATGACTAGTGGCGATGCTTTTATTACTAGGATGAATCCCATTAATCTAATGGTGCTCTAAAATTATTTGGGCTGTAAACTGAAAAAATCGTTTAGTTTTGGCTGAACTTTCACAAATGCACGTATGAAAATGATAACCATTTATTGAAAAAGAAAGTAACAATTTTAAAGAATTACAATTATTTTGACAGCCCAACATGCCATTGTTTCAATGACACGTTAATAAATTATATTTAACAATAACCTTAATCCAAGAAAGCCTCCTTTGGTTAAAGAAACTTTGGCACGGATTATACGAGTTTTTGGAGGACGGGCGCGCGCACGCACGTGTTTCTTCCAGGTGAAGAATTACGGCTTGTTTTACTTTCACACCTAGATTTTCCGTGGATTAAGATGGTGAGATAGATCCAGCCAATCGTTATGCCAAGGCTACGCTCGGGCGTTGCATATGAAGAATGCGCGCATTGCAAGTACACAATGCGATTTTGAATAAAAATGAAAGAATAATTCATGTTACGGTCAACAGACTGTCGACTGTAACATCATATTATTAACAAAGAAAATGCTATTGTATTTTCTTGTCTTGTAGTAGGTAGTTGAGCACGAGCTTCTAGGCTATATCACCCCGTGGTAAAGTGTGGCGTAATAGTAGTAGTATGTGTTTATGATGCCTTCCGGGAGGTCTTTTAAGGGTAACTGGCCCGTATTCAGGCGTTACAGACGTGCAGGAAACTCGGAAAACCCCACATGGTCTGGGCGAGGTGCGAACTCCCAGTGTTCAGGGAATGGAACCGTTTGGCCACTGGTGGGCCCGATATTTATATTCCTCGAAAAGCGAAATCGCGACCGGTGGTGTGGCAAAATGAGTGTTATTTCACCAGGGTTTTAAAATAACTATGCGACTCCATTACCGTGTTTTAATTCCGTCGTGTAAATCGTCACCTTTAGGGACTGTAGGGGCGGGGGCCACGAGCCACAAAGTTATGTTAGAAATGAAGAAACTGTGGTTAAATATTGGTACCCCATTGGCAATTCGATTATTAATTGACTTCTATAAAAGAATAACGTAATTTTCGTAGTCGTGCCCACCTAGACACGTTGGGTCGCGTTATGTGAAGCCCTGGGATGGGATGAAAAACATTTTTTTAACCAAAAATCGAAACAAAAACGAATCTCGATCTTCGCGATTAATTAAAATTAAGGGAAAGGGAAAAATAAAATTAATATTAAAATCATGCGAACAAACGAGAGAAATTAGTAAATTAAATTCTTTAAGACAAGACCAACAAAAAGGGGAATGTTAGTTAAGGTACACGGTTCGTTCACCACCGAACGAGACTCTGTCCAATTGTATTAATAAACAATCGTCTTTCTGGGGAACTGATCTGGTCAATTTCACCTGGTAACAGAAAGATCAATCTGGGACCGAGAAATGGGATTAATAACCAATAAAGTAATGATTTGCGAGACGAAAAGATATTTAAGCCCAGGCCACAAAAATCTTCGTTCTTTGCCATGGCGTCCCTCATCCCTAGACTTTCGTCTTTGAAAACTATGCGCCGAAGTACGCAAGGACTTAAACCGTTCGTGACTATGAACTTTTTGTAAATTAAATTGTTTAATAAATGGGTTGTGTTGTTTGTAAACGAGGCATCTATCTCTGACTCAACCCGCTCCCACGTGTCGTTGACTGTTACTGCTCGGCAGTTCAGAAGGCAATGGAGACGATAACGATATCACATATCGTTATTTTTCGTTTTTAAATTCCCCCTCGGACCTCTCAGTTATCCTATGGGCAAAAAAGAAATTGCCTGGACCCCAAATCAATCTTTTATTAAAAAAAAAATACTCTCCCCGAAAAATATCTGAAGTCAACACTGTACAGTACATGGGAACTCCTAATTCAAATTCGCCCGGGCTCCGTGAAGTTATAACGAGGGGGCCTGCCACTGCGGAACCCTTTCATGGGCCCAGCCGTGCTCACCATGGGCAAAGAAGAACGACCCTTTTGATGATCCTTCTTCCTTAAAATTCCAGTGGCGTGCCGTCATTAGAAGCGTTGGAAGCGCCGCTTCCCTTGTATTTTATAAAAAATAAATACATATTAATTTTAATTATATGAAAATAATCGCACAATATTTTATTATAACCGCATTACGTATCTTATTACAAATTTCTATACTATACGTGAAAAAATAAATAAATAAATAAGATTGCTATTGTATATTCGAATATTAGTGGCGTGTACAGAAAAAAACGTGTACAGTTCTTGTATAATGGTAAAAAAATTAACCGTTATTTTGACAGCATCATTTACAACTAAATTTAATGAATGAGAGAGATGCACCAGGTACAGAAAAGGCTCTAGAATTTATTTTCCTTAAATTTACGATTTATGTATCCGTTGTCGTAAAAATTTGTCTTTCCACTTTTTTCCCGAGACTACAAATATTCGAGTACAAAGTAACTGGTTTCGACTTATTTCTACTTAAGAAGTAGTTAAATAATTAAGCGATTAGGGAATTGGGGACGTAAACAAAACCCTGATGAAAGAGCCGGAATTTTACTTAAACAAAAGCCTAACCGGACCAATATCTAGCCGAGTACAGTGGGACTGATTTCTTCGTAATATTAGATGTAATAAAGACAGAAATTTTTCCAGTTCAATGAAAGTGAGTAAAAGTTGTAAATTTTGGAAATTTCCGTGGACACCTGGTCTTAAAACGAATTACAGTAGTTAGAAAACAAATGACTTTTAAGTTTAACAAATTTAGATTTTTACAGCTATGATGAGAAACGTTTAAAATTTACAACAACCCTGTCGCGTCCTTTGAGATATACTAGTGATGAGACAAAAGAGACATTAACCGGTATCGGCACCCTCGGGATTTGGCAAGCATGCACCGCACCGCACACCTACCAAGACCGTCTCTGATTCCATCCACGAGCCACTGGTAGGGAGCAATTTTAACTAGGTGGATTGTTTTAATATTTAAAAAGTAAAGACTATTTTACGTTATTTTTATGTACGTTTCTTCACAAAACTATATTTATAATTTTCTTTAAAAGTATATTCATACAATTGAATATTTTGTACCAGGTATGTATAATTGTATATCATCACACATTTTATTTTAACAAGTAAGTTTTTATAATTTTATTTTTAATTTTAGCCCTTATATTATAGCTAGCAATTTAGAATGTAATTGTGATATCGAAAATTTATTTCAAAAAGTTTTGGCTCGAGACCATATAATGAAAAAGAAAAAATTTGTTCGACATTTTCATGATAAAATTTATGAAGATATAAAATGGCTTTGTGGATGCATAAAAATGCAAAATTTGTTTTGTTGGCCTTGCCTACTATTTTCAAATAAAATTAGTGTGTAGAATGAGATTGGCTTTGACGATTTAAATAATTTTAGTAAAGCTGGCAAAAGACACGAAAATCCTAAATCTCCATCGATTCTTTCGTAAAATTGAAGCAATTTGGAAATCAAAATAGAATAGAATTTAACATTAGTAAACAATATAAACTAAATGTTGAAAATTATAACAAAGTTATGGCTAATATATTATATTTTAATTAGTAGATGTTATTGAAGTGAGAATTGGCATTTAGAGGGCATAGAGAATCTATTAAATCAAATATAACAGAGTTAATTATATTGAACTCGCTTATTTATTAAGTGCGTTAGATAATCTATTAATTAAAAATACATTTAGAGAAGTTTACGGTTTTTACTGGCTTATCGAACAAACGAATACGAATGGACCCTAGACCACCACTGACTGATTGCCCCTGGAAGTCGGCTTGTTACAAAAACACAGCTTCCCTATCATCAAATGTCACGGCACGCTCCTGTAAAATTCTCTCTTCACCCTGAAATTTTCTGAATGTTAAACAAATTACAATTTGACATTTTCAAATGGGAGGATCCCGGTAATTTTGACCCTATTCTTAATGAAGGGTGCCCTACGAGTGCCTTTCGCGCCCGTCGGGTATACTGTGATGGTGCCCAACATGTTATATTGCAACGATGCCCAAACTGTGGCATGCGCCTCTTCAAGAGCTTAATTGTAGCTCAACTAATAAATATTTCTAACAAAGAGTAAATAAAAAAAATTTAATAAATACATTATGATCCTGAGATTCTTTTCATATTTTCATACCAAGAACATTAGATGCGGCTCCCAATATTTTCAGGTAAGTAACTAGGGCTCTTACAACAAAAAATCTGGGCACCCTGTTATATTTTATTAATGATACTCCCGACTAAAGATATCGAAGGGATGTCGATCAAAAGTGGCATCCTTTTCGCACTAAATGTGAAGTCTTATAGATTTTTAATGGCGAAAGGGTGCAATGCAACGCTCGGGCATTCTGCCAAGGGGCCCAGGACGACGCTGTGGGTAAACTGGCCCCCTATTTAGGTGTTATACAGTGAAGAAAACCACGAAACTCGTCGGTGAGGTCCGAACCCGCAACGGTTTCTTCCACTGGGCCACGTGAGGATTCCGTGACGTAAAGGAGGAAATTATTTAGAATTTCACGGAGTAAATATTTAAAATTTGTATAAATAATTACGATTAAAATTAGAATTTATAAATATTTAGAGGCGGAAGTTCGACAAAACGATCGATTACGTAAACAGTCTGCGAAAACAAATGCCACCTCCAGCTTAGTGTCATGAGAAACTTAAATTTGAAAGCGTTAATAAGAGATTTTAACTGATCCAAATTAAAAAAAAAGAGACATTTTAGATGCAAAAAATTAATTTAAAAACCCACCGATTTTTTTGGTAGAAAGGTAGAGATTTGTTTACCACAGACAATTTACCCGAGACATTCTAAAATTAGCACACGAGGCACTTGCCAAAAACAAAACAAGAATGTCACAAAATCGAAGCGTAAAAATCTAAAACAAAACTGCAGCAGATTAATGCCGCGCGGAGTACTTCGCGTATTAATTTGCATATTCGCTTACGTCACGGCAAATTTGGCGCACGAATTTATTACATGTTTTTTTTTCTTTTTTTGAACGACGGACACGTGATTAGCCCGGAGATTATCGCAATATTTGATTGGCAAAACGGAAATAATTGATTCGTGGTAGGTGCTATCAGAATATTCGTTGTAAACACGACAATCAAGGAGAGGCGGTTATCGGCGGAGGGTACAAAGTCCGATCCTTTGTAAGCTATGAGATGACACCTCGGTACTGTACCTGGGTATTATGGTCACTTAAATCCAATTGTTGCACCGATTTTTAAAGGTGAGTAACGTATTATTTTCAAATTTAACAGGCCCTTCCTTCCCCTTACTTAATATCACGTGGTCTTCGAGGGGGGCTTTTTTTTATTTTAAACTCGTATAACGTAAATTAGTGTTGGGAAATTGATACTTACACTCGACTCACCCCCCGTTAAAGTTATTTAATAGTTATATAAGCCTCTAATTTTAGTTTACGACCTTCGATAGGTAGGAAATTTTCTTTTGGGGGTCGTAAAATTCATGTGTTTGGACACCATCCAAAGATCGTAGGGTATCTTTATCGATTTCTCTATCGTTTTATATATGTATAAGCTACACACACACGTCTTTCGCCTGTTATTCTAATCTTGAAACGTGTTACGAAATGGGCGCATACCTGCAGATAACACTGGAATACATCCCATTTTGAAAATAAAGACAAAACTTAGTCCGAATTTGTCCTATTTTTACTCCTTCCTTCTTGACAGATGCGTAACGTCCTATTGTTTAGGTAGTTATGCTTTACAAGGCATAAACTTCATTTTCTTTCTTTTTTTTTTTATTGGTCTTTACAGAGTCATGGTGCAGTTATGCTTCCACATGTTACATGTATGCTTTGTCTTACTAATTAGCACATTCCAGATGTGTAGAGGTGTGGAAACGAAGAACTGGAGTCGTGAACGGTATCCGAACCCACTCCTCACTCCTTCGAACTGTTCGCGTAACGATCCGTCCTACGTCTGTGATCCGGATAACGTACTGGGAGATGGAGAAGGTGATCGTGATCAATTTCCCGGTTTATCTCTCGATTTAACGCCATTTTACACGTGTTTTTTTAAATGTTTACAGCCGATAAATTGGACTTCATTATAACGAGGATACGTAACGACACGACTTGCATCTGTTCCGGGTGCGAGTTACGCCATCCCGGAATTACAATAGCTGTGGCTCTGATGAAAAGCATGGAAAACGATGAGAGGTAAGTTACGCTCGCTGACGTAACCGTGACGCTTTGTGATTTAAAGCAATTAAGTGGATTTCTTGCAGCAAATCGGGTGCGGAAAATGCGAAGGATTTTGCAGTTTATTTGCTGGAAAAGTGGAATTTCGGGCGATGCGACGACGTCGTCGTCATCCTTGTTTCGTCCGTCGATCATCAGGTACGACGTTACTCTGCTCGAATATGTCGTTACGGTAGCGTTAACGGTCCCGGGTGACCTCTGAACTGTTTTATTGAAGTTCGTCCGTCCGAACGGCAATTATAATAAATAGCGTTATCGTGCGAATATTCACACGTCCGGGGGGAGATTTGTCGTGTTTTGTTCGCTGTTACGCCGCTTTAAATGTGTAACGTTCAAGGTCGCGTGCACTTTAAACTAGACTTTCAAAACTGATGCATTATTAAACATTGGATATTCGCCGCGATGATTATTCATCCGTTTGTATACACACGGTTCGAGTGCACAATTCATTTTCTAGAATAGGGTAATTAAATTGTAATTAACACTCCGCAGAACCGTCCAAAGGTTATATTTTTATTTAATTTGTAAAAATATAAGTTCCTCCCGTAGTGTTACTATAGTGTTATTTAAATATCCGGTATAACATTTTAAAACGGCTCATAACTGTTTATTTTTTATGATAAATCAAATTGATAAAGTTAATTTCTCCTAAAACTGTTGCCAGTCGCTATGACGACTCTCACAAAGGGAAAATATTCGAGTAATTGTGTTTGTTAATGTCTTTTTTTTAATGTTAGAGTAACACCCGTTGGGCAAACGGAAGGGCCTCTTACCTGTTACAGTTTAAGGCCTGGAATCTAAATTAAGTGTAAGTGACGAGGAAACATTTGAATGAAGGGATCGATGCTATTAAATGTTGGTGATAATGTCGAGGGGGTGGGGAGATAAAGGAGGTCATGTGTATCTCCAGTAGGGTCTGATTTAATAAAGATTTTACTCGTTATTAGCATTTACAATTTTTCATAAAACCCACCCCTACCCTCAAAATTATGCTTTATAATATTTAAAAAATATTATAACAGATGGGCCACCAAATGGTGCCGGAAAAGTTAAGCAACTCGTTGCTGGATTTGATTTTACATTTTGTCTTTGGAGATCTGTTGTGGAGCTTGTAATGCATAATGTAACATTACTACAGTTCTGAGAAGCGCAGGCGGGGTATCATTTTTTTTGCCGTGGCAAAGAATTGGAGTCCGAATTCTGGGTTCCTAGTTTTCTATATCTAGTGTAGATGAACACTACTACTAGTAGCGAGTGTTGTTAATTCGAATTTTGTATCTTTCAGTCATACGTGGCTTCGGGATCGACCGTGTTCTCTGTGCTGTCCAAAGAATTGTCCGATAAGATCTTTGAATCTAGCAGGGCTCACTTTGACAATGGATATTTTTATCAGGGATTGGAATCCATCGTGGAATCTTATTATGACGTCCTGAGACGAAAGCAGCAACAGCAGCAGCATGTCGCGACATACAAAGAAAATAAAAGAACCTTTAACGACAGAGACATTACCATTGCCTTGGTGGTGTCCGTGGCCACGTTAGCGGCGCTGCTGGTATTCTTGGCCATACTGTTGTACAGGATGAAGAAGAGACAACGGAAGACAACTTTGAGAAGTAACTTAACGAGATGGCACAATACCAAACAGATGAAGTCAGACGATTACAGAATCTGCGACACCGACGACCGTTCGGACTGCAACAGCGAGGCGGAATCCATTGAAGAGAGGGACGATGCCAATCGAACAATCGGAATGTTCCCTCCTACCAAAAGGCAGTTGAGTGCAGTTATGGAAGAATCCGAAAATGAAGAGGAGGAGGAGGAAGACGTGGAGAGCGAAGAGAGATCGAGGACATTGAGTTGTGATCAGAAGAATAATGTTAACAATATACCCAGAATACCTCGTTTTCAGCATTGTGACAACCAGTTTTCTGCAGAAAAAGATTTATAAAAGTTTTTTTGGATAAGATATAATAAATTTTAGAACCACACAAATTTGTACATGTATAATGAAACATACCAAATTAGAGTTTCCCAACTGTTAAATTCTTTAAATGAGTCCTAGATGCAAAAGAAGATAGAGGGTATAAGAACACAACATTTTCATTTCCTTTATATTATGGCAAAACCTATTGAAAATGGAATCGAACACACCAGCTAGAATTTTCCATTTCATGAAGGGGTAGTGCATTTATTAAATTTATACTTGAGAATGAAAGAGAATGGCATTTGGCATTGTCATTCTCTCTTGATTGTAATTTTGTTGTCTGGAAAGTAGCAGTGACAAACGAATTGAAAATCCATCATTGAGGAGTGACAAGCCCATGGATTAGGGCATTGTGATTTAGAACTTAGTCACTGTTATGTCAAAAAGTTTTGCTTTACTTGGATAATGTTACACAGTGGGTTCTCAAAAAACTTTCTGGCCAATACTACTAGACTATAAATCTCGGAATGGAACTGTTTGGGAATTTAATTTTCATTTTATGGCCAGTCTGTTTTAGATGGCTTTTACTGTATAAATATTACTAGTAAAATCGATAGTATAAAAAGCAATTTGGCCCAGTAAATTAGGATTAGACAGGTATTTTCTGTATAAATTGTCATTTTTAATTGATCCTTCCTATATCTAAATCATACCCTTTGCCAGTTTTGCTTCTTTCCTCGTCATGAGAGGAAATTGTCTTAATCTTTTTTCAACACACTTCAATCCATACATTAGTTTTACAACTTACATCTATTTTTCATCTGTCATCAATTTTTAATAATACAAGTCAGATTCTCACTTAAATAGTATTGTACAATATTTTGATTTGGTAAGTATTTAAATTTTCAGGAAATGAGATCGCAAATAGAGGTGTACATATTACTCTCTTCCTACAAATCAGAATGGAGATCTTTCTCAGAAAATGAACATAAGTGTAGTCGAGGTATGTCACAGCTATTCAAATGAACAAATTAATAAATATTGTTTTATTTTTTAAAAAGAAAGATAAATCGTAATGTGGATAATAAAACATATGAACTTTACGTGTTATGATACATCAATTATTTCTTCTTTTCAACTTTAAAAAAGCCTGAAGTGTTGGAAAAGTATTTTCCACTGGTCTCGTTCAATTTCTTTTCTGCGGCTTGAGGATTTACAATTTCTAAACCCTAAAAAGAAAAAAGAAAAAAATGTGCGTAAGTGGTCCATATTTTATTTGTTTGGTCTGAAGAAGCGACTATTTACCTGAAGTGGCGTGAATGCCACACTGGATGCCGTTCCAGAAATCTGTCTCCTGACGGAGGTGCTGCCTCCCCACACTTGTTGCTTTTGAAGATTTTTCTAAAAATTATTATGAAACAAAAATTAATTATAAAAATGTCCTAAAATACAGTATACTCTTATTAATATTGACACCTATGTTTTGGTGTATGCCAAACTCTGCTTAAGGAAAATTGGGTTGATGATTAATGTTAAATTATGTGAATAATATACTAAATAATATCGGTTAACTGAAGCAAAACGGTTGTCATCATCATCTACCAGAATTATTGTTATTGATTTCATAAAGTTTTTGACAAAATGTAAGAAATTTTGGATTTTGGCTGATTTCCGTGTTCAGAATTTCAAGAGATTTGTCTAGAAACACTTATATTGTGGGAAAGTACTGTATATATTTATATTGTAAAAATATTCCCTTAGATAGAAAACAAAATATAATTGAAGATTCTGGCACTTTTTTTAGTGTTCTCAATTCAACAAAAGCTACAGGACAAATAAGAATTGCAGTTGTACGATAATGTTAAACTACAAAATTGCAGAATACTCGTTAATGTCTGTCTTATGGACGGACGGTCCCACTGGTTGTCTCTAACAGGATTATTATTAGCATGTATGTATTTTCTCATTTGGCCTTGTCCAGATTCAATCAATCAAATTATTAAAAGGCAAAAGTACATTATAAGCTAGAAGGCCAGTCACAGTAATACAATGTCTCGATTGTTGTGACCATAATAAATTATGGAGGTTTGGATTAAGTTCCCCATGGTAATTAGCTACTGTCCTTGTCTAACAAGTCTAACTGACTTGTTTGATAATTTAATTCTGTGATAATATATGTTGTAAGTGGCAGGTGAACAATACAGAACATTTCCCAAACTGGGATCTGCAGACTAGTTCAAAATGATCCACAAAACATTCATACAATATATAGTAATATGTATCTTTCCACTCAAAATGTACTGATAGAATTACAGTTTTGATATAAAAAATTACTTATTTTCAATATGATACATTACGAGTCAGATCATTACACAGTACATTGCATTCCTACCAGTATGTGTGTATGTTGCTTTGTGAATTTGGCTAATAGAAAACAGCTGGAAAACTGAAAGCAAAGCTTTTGTATGGCAGGTTATGTGATTTTTAAGGCCCTATGCAATAAATTTCAAAAATATCTAAAAAATTTATTGTAGTGTTTTTCATGAAATTTGCGATCTGTATAAAGATTACGTATGCACAAACTACATTTATGCATAGACACAAAAGATCCACGCGTCTCAATGGTTTGAGAGTTGCCAGTACGAAAAAAACTCACATTATACCATTCAAGTTTTTTCCACATTAAATTTGTATGAGATTAATTAAACATTAATTTGACATCCAGTATTATGTTTTATACAGCTTAATTAATTTTATGCCAAAATTCTTCGACACCACTCTGACTCATATGCTGTTCTTGTATCATTCTATACAAAAAATATTCCTATTTCTACTTACAAAATTCATATTACTGTATAACAAAATAGCAACTGGATTATTTTTCTATACAGAAGCACAAAGTTTCCTTTCTGAAGAGTTATTTACAAATTAGATGTAACCAATTAGTTTTTTCCATTACTAAATTGATTACTATCTAAACCCTTGATTATAATTTGATGTGTGTTCCATATTATTAATATTTTTACCTGTAGGGTCTTGGATATTCGGACTTTGGTCTTTTCGTCAATCTGGGGAGCTCTTATTCTGCCAGTTCCGGATTTTCCGACTTGACCTAAACTAAATCCTAAATCGTCCTGATAAGCATCTTCTTCTATCTGGAATGAAATATTTGAAAAAATTCAGTTATTATATAAATCTTAGTACTAAATGGGGAAAAAGGTATATTAAAACAATTGAACATTAAATTGAAAATTAATGGACTTGAATGCCGAATTATTTAAATTTGTGTGACTTCAACTAATGCAAACTTTTTAAGACTAAACCATGCATCTCCATACACAATTTATTTTTCAAATGAGGTAATTCTGTCGATAATTTAAGTTAATACATTCTAAAAATATAAAATAAAGAGGTATTTATTGCAAAATAAACATATAAAATCATAATTTATCTGTATGAAAGTAAAAATGTGATTGCATCTTTTGACTTCTGCTATTGATTAATAACTTGTATTTTGTTCCTAACACCACCAATAAATGCCAGAAAAATAAGGAGAAAAAACATGCAAATATTCACACAGTGAACTAATATACCATACGTGCAGTGGGGAAAAAGCTGATATCAACATGCAAATATCCACACAAAAGTAAAGAATTATGGTGTTTCTGTCATTTAAAAATATTGACTTTACACCAATAATGACTAATTAGCTTAGGATATTTTTGCTTTCTTATATAAAAGACAATAAGGATTGCAAATTGCTCCATTGGAATGAGTATTCACAGTTCATTTGTCTAACAGCAGAAAAGCTTTCTGTCACGAATATCTCTAATTTTGTGCATATCAATTTTATATATTTTATTTCACTTATTGCCAATAAAAATTTTTTTTATCTATATGTTTCGTTGTTAGCTTTTCCTATACATTCTTATATTTTGCAATAAAATCTATAGTTTTTGGGAACTTTCTACAAATACATTTAAATTTCTTTTGTCAGCTATTTGCAAATGTTTCTTATAAATGTTAACAATCATTCATCTTAAGTTAATTGCTTGTACTTTTTCTACATGAAAGAGAAAACTTTTAAATTCTCTGTCTCCCTTCTCTAAATTACAGATCATCATCAAAGCATAACACAGTTAAGGAATACAGTTGAAGATTTTTGGGTAGAAAAGCAATAAATGTCATAATAAAAATATATTTAAGATGGTAAAAGTAAGGTACAAGATATAATCTTATAGGTATATAATGTACAATACTTAAAAATATCTAGTCATTTCGAATGACTGACAATAGAATCAAACTTCTACAAATTTTAAAATACACTGAATTTATATAATTATTATTAGGCACGAAATGAACAGCTGGATTTGTTATTGGCTCTAAGGCTAAATGACTACTAAGCAATTCGGTATGAGACAGGTCAACTTGTGCCAAATTACTTAGTAGTCATTTAGCTATAGAGCTGATAAAGAATCTGGTAGTTCATCTGGTATTTGTAATAACTATCGGGTTAATTATATTCTTTATATATATTATTTAATATTAAATTTCTGTAACACATTCCTATAAAGATGCATAATCTGTTTGAAATACTACAATTATATTTCTTATACTTCTTTGATTTATCAGTTTTTATTAACTGACTAGCTGCAAGGACCCGCTTTGCTGGGTTTTTATTTGTTCGTACATTTGTATGTAATATAGTTTTTTATATATATATAAAAGACTGTTTTTCTAAGTAATCTAGAATCTAGCTGCAAGGACCCGCTTCGCTGGGTTTTTAAAAAGTAACGATAGTGAAGATTAAGATAATTACATTATAGCCAATCTTACCCGTTTTCACAGAATGCAAGAATTAGGTCCCCCGTTTCCAGACTAATTAGAGAATTTTTACGTTTAGTCAAACGAACTATTTTCAACGTTTCTGGAACGTTTACAATCGTTCTATAATCGAACCAATATTCGAATTTTATGTTCGAATTCAATTCGAACAAATTCGAACATAACATTTGAAATAGAAAACCACTTTCAGCCCCATATCTCCTGCACCCTTATAGCTATCGAGACACAACCCCCATAGTGCACGAATGGAGACTTGGGGCTACCACCACATACAAACAGCATTCACGTGCGATGTGTAGTTTTGGCGGAAAAGTGAAATATAGGGACATACATGTCCATTTATATATATATATATAGATATAGATATATAGATATAGATAAATTAAAGAAGTATAAGAAACATAATTATGTTGTTTTTATTGGTTTATTCTAGTTCATTTCTTTGTAATAGTAAATTTACTTTCTGAAAAATCTGTGTTCACCTTGATAACTTATTTTTTTTTATGGGAAAATTTTGTATCTGATAGGGTTACTTTGCTATATAGTATAATTTTAGAAGAAAATGATAGTTAATAAATTTTTTATAAGAAAAAAATATTGAAGCAATAAGTATATTTAGTTAGATATTCATCTTACCTCACCAAAATTCATTCTGTTTGCCTGTTTTCTAAGCTCTGTAATTGCGTATCTTTCTTTCATTCTCCGAACCCTAAAAAATTTGAAAATTTATTTTTAGTAATTTTAATTTTAGATAAGATACTGATATTTTTCTATGAGTGTTATTTACTAGATAAAGTAATTGGTTGAAGGCAAATAAAGATACAGAATATGAAAGTAGTCAGTCTCTCTCTTTGATAACTTCATATTTATTGAAAAAATAAATGATTAAAAGTTTAAAAATACCTGAAAGACATTGCTTATTGCATCAAAAGACTGACAGAAGCAGGCTAAATCCAAAACTGTGATGTCTAGAATTGTGCTTACAACAATTGCTTCCAAATTATGGAAATTTCAAGATTTGGAACATATCATAACATTTAGCAGTTACTTTATAAAGAAAGAACAGCATAACATTTCTCTTGCAACTTGAATACTTACTAAAATGGTAGTTTCAAAATGAATTGTGCCTTAAAGACAAAAAAAGAAAACACATCATACAATTTCTATGGTATTTGCTTCATTGATATCCTTTTGTGGAAAGTCATATAAACTGAATCATTAACACTGTAAATGAACTCAAGACCAGTGGATAAGATTTAGCTTTCGGAGTAATTCTCAGCAGATTTCCAATTTTTTTTTATATTTAAACATTATCATGCTTCTAACATCGAAGAAAGGGATCACCACAAATGTAGTCATTCAACGATTTTATAAGAAATTACATTGAATAGCGAGATTTAATTTAAAAATTAATAATTACTCAATGATATATTTGTGAGACAGCAAAACTGAATACTACATCTTTTTAAAGGCACAATCAGTCCTAATTTTATTTTTATGGATGTTAATGCAAGAATACTTGATGATTTTTAATGATTAAAATAGCCAACTATTTTAAACCCAAAAGAATATTTGTAGGATGTAGACAAAAAGATACATAGCAACTATGTGCTGTCTGTAATTTTATATTAAAAAATTTAAAAACTTATCGAAATAAATTGAAAAAACAAACATTTCTTTTATTGTATTATACAATTGTAAAGTTCCTCTAGTATTATACAATTGTAAAGTTTCTCTGCAGCGAGCCATGCCGTATCTCAGCTGAGCGACATCATCATAACTTGCTTTAACTATTGACACATGGTCTGCATGCAACATCATTTCTTCATTCATGGAAGCTCCTCCCATTTTCCCACCTGCTACAGAGGGATTTTATGATTTTACTGTATTATATATTAACATCATTTGAAAAACAATTGGCATTTTTGTTCTGTTAATTTGAAGAAGAGCAGTTTAATAATTGTTCAGTTTTCTATAATGACTTAAATTAATTATTATTATTATTTGCATATTGAATAGTTTGCAAACTACTCATAAACAATCTTACAACATAAATTTATTTCTGCTTTCATTATATATAATATTACAAGAGAAATGAATATCTTGAAATGATGAAAACAAAATAATAAAAGAACAACATTACAATAAAACCTCAATTTTAAACTATTTAAATGCTTTTTATATGTAATTAAATTAACAGGTTATTTCTCAAATACATGAGTCACCACTCTAACTTCACACCTTAAGAGGGATATCTTGATATATCATCATCCAAAGATGAATAAACAGGAAATTTTTGTGTGTTTTTGTCAGCTTTAAATTTGTTTTCTTCTTAACAGTATTATTTGTTTAGTTAAATACAATTAAAGTATATTTTCCAAAAAATGTTTGTTAGATCTTATACTTGTTTATTATGGTTTTGGTACTATGAGTACACAAGCAATAATACATATAGAAACTTTTCTGTGAAATTAAACTTTTTGTACATATTTAATTTTAATTACACAAACACATCTACATAACTAAAAACAGATAAACTAATTAAATTGTCAATTTTTTTTAACACATGCATTCTGAAAACCTACTTTATTATATAACAGACTTTTGGCATTAATGGACACTTCCCTCGCCTGAATTAGTCTGTTAAATTGAGATTTTACTGTATTTGGATATTGGAAATAATAACTATAGTAATACCTCGATTTTCGTCAACTTCAGTTTTTGTTGATTTCTTTTTTTGTGAAAAATTTGCCTTGGATTTCGCTACAAATTTTGCAAAAACAAAGGGTGAACCACGCATTTTCCTGCTCATTGTGGCATTGTTTCTCGTCTGAACATTATTACCTGATGCCTCTAACCAATTTCATTGCTTTCCTTTCCTTTTTGCTCAATCATAGGACCAAAGAAAGTTACCAGAGCCATCAGCCCTTCGAAGAAGGTGGCCAGGAACATGATCGAAGTTGAAGAAGGAAATCATTGAAAAATACGAGAGCAACATTAAAATTGCTAAAAACGGCCGCTTTTATATTAATTTTATATTAATTTCATATTGTTTTTAGTATTAAACACTATATTTATTCTGTATAAAATGTGTTTTTGATGTGTATTTTGGAGTGTCTAGAACAAATTAATTGGATTTACATTGATTCATATGGAGATAATTGCCTCGGTTTTCATCAGATTCGGATTTCGCCAATTGTTTTCAGACAGATTATCGACGAAAACTGAGGTATCACTGTATTTATTACTAAATCAGACATATATTTTATCAATTAGTTGCAATATAATTTAGAATATCAGAGTTTATCTCTGATATTCTAAATTCTTTGGAGTTAGAATTTAATTGACATATTTTTGCTGCTTTATGAGTTAAGAAGCAGTAAAATAATCCACAAATAATTCCAAACATCAATGATAGCAAATAAATGTATAAGAGAAATTCAACTGCAATTATTATTATATTTCTAATTATATAGTAAGGTTCAGCAAACATTGTTACGACAGGAACCATAAATTGCTTATTAAAAATATGAGCTGCATTCTCTATTGAAACTGTATTTTATATTATAATTGATATAATTAAGGCAATCTTAAATTTTGAAACACACATCAATCAAATTTAACCTGCAGTATACAAGCTGCAAATTATGAATTAAATATAGAATATATGCAACAGTTTATATGAAAAAATCATTTCATGTTAATCACGTAGCAAGAAAAAAAAATATTCAGGATTGAAAGGAGTAAATTTTAAAAAAATATTCCTACCTCCTTCCACCTCTCTTCTTTCTGGTCTGATCAATAGGAGCGGGAAGAGGTTTCACCTGCTTGACGGGTGGCGGTTCTTGCAGTTTGTCAAGTTTCCTTTCGACCTCTTCTCGTAAGTTGTGACCGATGTGACCGTCGACAGATTCATGAAAGCTGTCAACTCTGGCTGCCAGAGTACATTTGGCAGCAATCAACCTTGCTGCTTTTCTTCTTAAATCCTATAGAAGATTAATCATATTTGAGTTATTTCCTAGTAATTTTCAGACATAAAAATATAGAAAGAAATTACAACATTCATTTGTCAACATAAACAGATCAGAGGCAATACATTATCCTCATTTCTTTGCATAATCTAAATTGTATTTTACAGCTCAACTCTTGCATTATTTGTTAAATAGCAAAAAGCATGTATTTAAAATGTTTGAGTATGCTACATTGTCTTTAATACCTTTATATTACTTCATTTTTAATTTTATCATAAATATTTTAATACAATAGTTACAACTAGATTAATTTTTTTTTGTTTTTGTATATATTTACATCAAAGTACTTATGTACACTTACAAAAATAAGAAGTCATTTCTTATTTGTTGAAATTGTTGAAAAAAGTTTAAAGTTAAAAAAGTAGAACTTATAAATGGAAATAAATTGTAAAATTAATGCATAGTAATAATACTATAAAACTAATATATATTCACATATCCTAATACTGAAACAATTTAGTCAATTCTTGCACATAAAAGTAGAAATATAATAAGCAATCACACTACAAATAGTTAAGTTAAATTATAATTATTAAAAAAGTTTAAAACTGCACTCGAGGTGAGTGAGATTTCAAAATTTTTTACAATCATTAATAAGGCCCTTTTTTAGATTTATTATAAAAGATTTTCCTTTTTAATCTAGCTTTCAATTCATTTTACATTTATAATTTTATAATTTGTCAAGACTTAGTTTATTCATTTAGTGGTCAATAATTAGTTTAAAAAAGTCAAAGATCTGCAATAAAGGAATGAGAGATAGAATACCCAATTCCTGGTACAATACAGTTTGCATAGTGAATTACTGGTGTGTTCCCTGTGTGATTAGTTCCCTTCAGCATAATTTATGGTTATCACTAAAGAACCTTGTTTTAGATGTTTATATGATGCACTGGAATATGACTTGCAAATTGTTTTAAGCATATGCAAGAGCATTTCTCTCAAGTAATAAGAATGTGATCTACCATGTGATTCCAATCGCATCATTGATTAGTTCATGATGCAACAAGTAAAGAAATCTGACAGAGTAGGTTTTGTGGAGTGTGACTGCAATTTGTCAAACCAAGATTGCCAACAAGTGATGAGTTCGTTCAAATGCATATTGAGGTTACAAGTGACAAAATGCTAGTAGTAGTTGTATCATGTAAACTAGTTCAGGTATTAAATGATTTTACAATAATAACAGTGACATATAGCTAATAATAATAATAATAATAATAGTGTCAAAAATATAAGTTAATTTTTTAGTATCATTTACATTTATGCATTATTAATAGCTTATTTTAATGGTATTTTAAAGAAGCTAATTTCGTATTTACTTACTGGAGGAGTGTTTTGTACAATATCAGAATAGTATACAAATCCAGTATGTGGCATAATGGCTGTTGTCGAAAATCCTGTTAGAGTTTTTTTTTGCGAACCAAGAACTAGAACGTTACATGCGGGCATTTTAGCTAATTTAGTTAAACCACCAGCAACACCTGAAAAAATGAAGAAAATTAATTTAGCATTGTTCATAAAACCAGATATTTCTACATAAATTATTACAAGTATTTTGAATGTACGTACCCATTAATTTGGCAGCTATCGAAGCTCCGACTATTATAGACAGATTCGGTGCAATAAAGGACATCCGAGACTCCACATAATTATAAATTTGCTGTTTAAAATTATTCATTTCTATTGCCTGTAATAAAATTTTGTTGAATTTTTTTGAAGTTTAGATTTAGCATTCAATTTTAAATGTTTATTAGTTACATAAGTGATTGTACAAACTGTGATTATTGATTAATATACTCATTCTTAATTATAGAGATGGATATAATGAATGAGAATTTATTTAAATTATATCAAACTTGCTGTGTCATTTTGTGTAAGGATGTCTCCAATTCTCAAACCATGTTGTATGGGAGATTTTCTCAATTCTTGAACTGTTTTGTAGGAATGCCATGTTGTACAAATGATATCTGTGTAAGTTATGATCATCATCAATGTAATTAGAAAATTCTTAAAAATTATGTAATCTTGCATCTACAATGTATAAGAATGCTACCGGTAATTCAATGATTTAAAACGTAGAGTTTCATTATGTTTATTTTGGTTGATTAAATACATGAATAGATGCATTTCAGGCTGACTTACATTTTACAGTCCATCATCAGTAACTTGTATTGAATCAATTGTCTTCTTAAATACAAAGTACATGAACACGATATGGTATATATTTCACATTGATACATCAGACAAATGACAAGATCTGGTACTGTACATTACATTATAGATGTTTTATGCTACAGATAGAGAATTCTCGCAGACCATAATTGACAAAGGGACATAAAATGTAAGTCAGCCTGAAATGCATCTATTTATTTATGTAATCAACCAAAATAAACATAATTAAACCATAAGTTTTGGATTATCAAATTACTGGTAGCATTCCTATACATCTGCAGACACAGGATTACAGAATTCTCAAGAATTTTCTAATTAGAACATAGACAGTGATCCCAACAAGAGAGGAATCATTAATGCACATTATTTTTAAATTCTTATACTTAATACACTTTACTACTGCAATACATATAGCCTATAAGAGCAGTAGACTACACAACATAAGGTTTGTCTAAGTACATCTGAGTATGCTCTGTAAAGGCAGCCATACACGTTAAGTTAATCCTTTGAGGCTGCCTGACCATGAGGAACTTCAGAATTTCCTATCGCCCACACACGAAGAAGAAAATCTCTCAGCAGAGGTGTAGCTAGGGTGAGGCAAGTAGGGCTCGTGCCCTGGGCGCCACTTGCAGAGGGGTGCCAAATGGTCTCCAAGACAAACAAGATTTGTTTCTGGAGGGAGAGGGGGCGCCAATATAGTATCATGCCCCGGGTGCCAGTTATGTTTGCTATACCATTGTCTCTCAGTCAGTCGGCCATGGAATCTGATGATGACATACTGGCTGTTCTTGGATGTTTATTGGCAACAAATTCTATTAAAACTTGCAGGAAAAAAGTATGCATAGAAGTCTATGGTGTAAATAGTAGTAGTGATTTGGGTAGCACTGATCACAAAATTAATTTTTCATATAAATAATTTTTTAATGGAATTATTTCAGATCACAAAACTAATTTTTCAAGAGAAATCTTGGGCTATAGATTCTGTTAAAAAGCATCAATTATCAGCGAAAGATCAATGGCAAGTCGATTTTACTACCAAAAAAATTCATGGATTAAATTTTATAGACGAATATATATTAATAATTCTCAACCACATCCGATATTAGTACAAATTGTAAACATTATTATCGCAAATTAATTTTATAATTTAATAATTAAAAAGAATTTATTAAACTTTGTCTTATTTTAAGTTGTCATGTTTTAATTTACTTAAATATTAAAACAATAAATTTTTGAAAATGTAAAAGAAAATGATATAGAGTATCAAGATGTTTTAAGAAAACGGAAGAAATGAATTGAGAAGTTTTCTAAATATTAAAATTATTTATAATTTTAATTTACCCAAGAAATTTTTTATTTGAAAATAATTTATAACCTGAAAAATTAATTTATTAGGTTATAAATAATAAAAGTTAATAAGGTTACAGAAAATAATTCTTCCAAACATTCACGAGACATTGTTCTAACTACTCAGCGGTCTCACAACTGAACAACACAACGCACACACGTTAAGGTTGGCCTGTGCAGTCTGACACTGTGCAGGAAAATCAAATGGTTTTTCGATTCTACTCCAGTGGTCAGTACAGTTTGCCAAAATTGTTAAATTTTCCCCCTACACTATCAGGAATTACTCAAGGTCGGGCATGCATGGTTAATCCTCAGAGGATTAACTTAACGTGTATGGGCTCTTCTACTCCGATGGTTGGTACAGTTTGCCAAAACTGTTAAGTTTCCCCCCACACTATCAGGAATTACTCAAGGTCAGGCATGCATGGTTAATCCTCAAAGGATTAACTTAACGTGTATGGCTGCCTTAACATTTGTTTACTGATGTATTTCTTGGAACAATTAACTGCTACTGTACATACCTATACAATATTAGGATGCATATTGTCATGTTTGAAGTAAATACTAAATCATTTTAAGTTTTACTGAATGTTAATCAATTTTCTTGCACAATAATTAAGATACCATTTTCAGAATAAGATTAGTTTATTTTATTTAAAATTAAAACGATGTTTAGATTACCATTTCACAAGCTTCAAAAACAATTTTCAGTTCATCATCAGATAGAAGCTGGCTAAAAAACAAATGTAAAATCTTATTAGAAAATTTATTAAAATAACAATATAGTTAGCATTGTTATTTTTAACACTGCTTAAATAAAATCATTAAAATCAATTGTTATAAGAGATTAATAAATATTATAATCAACACATAATGAGTGATTGGGTTGCAATTTTCAAACTGCAGACTTATATATTCCTACTACCATCTGTGTGCATCTGTCTGCCATTACGACGTTACGATACATGAAAGTTGAGACCAGATATGAAAAGCTTTGAGGCCAGAGGCCCTAATTAACTACATACAAACTTCTGGTTTGGAATAGAAGTCACATAATTTTTTAAAATTAAATAATGATTAAAAATTGCAGCCCAGTATTGTGAGGATGTCATAATAAATAATTGCTGATTATTGCATGTATCTTTGTAATTTATATTGATTACATTACATACATATTTCATTAACCAAAAACTAAACTTTTGTTTAAATTTAATGTATTTACATTTTATATAATATGAGATTATAATTATTTTCCTAAATTAAATTAAAACATTACTTAAAGAATTTTAAAAATACATGTTAATATTTATAAGAAAAATACATAATTTCTTGCAGATACAAAATTAAGGAAATAAAAATATTATACTAGGCACAATAACATGTAATATGCTCTTGCACATCAGGACAATGTTATTATATACCAAAAATTGAAATTATGTCAGACACTAACCCTTGTGTTGTCGATGCTGTTACACTTACAACCATTATAGTGGCAGGAGTCAAAAACTGCAGAAGTGTTTCGTTATTTTTAGCTTTGTCAAGTTCGTTACCGAGTTCCTAGAATAAAATATATAATTAAAACATTAAAAGACAATTAAATTATACAATAAATTTATAATTTATATAATTACTATTTAGTCAAAGTCATCTGTTTAATACAGTAAAAGTAACAAATTTTTCCTGTTAGCATGAACATACATGCCGTTATTGTTACTTCTACTATAAACAGAGTTATTCAAGAAGTTTGGTGCAACTTTGTCCCAATTAAGTCACATTAGGCAATCGCATTGTCACAATTTATACAAAGCCAGAAGGATCAACACTGAGTTATAGTCTGCATCATCTGTGAGATTGTGATGAATTGGAAGGGCTACGTACACAATTTACCTTTATTTACGTGTTCATGCATTGCAACTTTTTATTGCGAGATTTTATCGTGGACACTGCACGAGTCCCTCTGTTGTCGATAATGATCATAAAATTGAAGTGGTATATATAAGTGGCCAGGAGCATGTTACATCAAGAATAAGAGGAGCCATAATGCTGCATCATGCATTGTGTTACTTGTGGCACATATATGAAATCACTGTAAAGTATGAGACAACATGGAAAGTTACTCTAACTGTCCATATGGCATATACTCGTCATACCAACAAAAGTATCTATGTATCGACTGTCTCAAATGGAGCCAATCTTTTTGAGTAACAGAATGTAAAAATGAATTTTTATGAAAATGAAACTACTTAAATTATATTACTTTCAAAAATACTTTAAGCTACTTTAAGATAGACTTTTGGAAACAGTTCAGATTACCATGGATCCTCACTACCATCCAATGACAGATTCTCAACAATAGAATAAGATTTATTGTGCAATACAATAAATGATATGGACTTATACTGTAATAATTTAATTTACAAATAAATAAATGCATTAAAAGAAATGACTCCTTCAGATATTTTATTTTGAGTTTTCATCATTTATTTATTTAATATTTTATATGAAAAATCATCTTTTTAAGAGGGAAACAATTTAGTTGTGTGACAAATATTTCAATATATAAGATCCTGGAATTAATTACACAGAATAATGAGCTAGTAGGTTTGAAATATGATAATTTTTCAGCAGAATGGCCTCTCTGGGATGGATTAATATTAAAATGAATTAAACTATAACAGGATATGCATCAAACAGATTACACTGTATTAAAAAGTATCTGAATAATACAAACTTAAAGATAATTTTTTAAAACTCTTTCTGCTCTGTAGGCACTAAGAAGGCATTTTTAGCAAATCCATTATAGCTTTGGCCAGGCCCACAATAGAGCACCTGGGTGGTAATGGGTGGGCTTGATATTTCAGGACAGACACTCTCCGAAAAATTCCTGAGGTTTTTCAACTCATCCAGATTTGATCCCAGGTTCCCAGAGAGCCAGGCTGCATTTCATATTTTAATACATGTTATATTTCACACAAGAAAAAAATTAATAGACAGAACTTGCATTTTGTTTATCTGTTTATTGTATTAAATTTAAAAAAACAGCCTCACTCTAATTCAGGCCATAAACTGCTGTGGTGTATCCCATGCAAACTGACATCTGGCTGCCATGGCATACATTTTGTAACCATTTATAAATTGGACCATAGACTGGACCAATATTGGACTAATGCCTGGCACTGCCTTATTGAATTCTAGGTCCTGCAGAGTGTATGCCAGTGTGAATACGGGGGCGTAAGGCTCCCGTTCAATGGTCAGGATGATGCGTCAGGCGAGTGTAAAGAGAGTTGATTGGGGTCGACGATAAGGTGAAGGGCAAGATCGAGTAAAGGAGTCTACCATATTTTTAACAAATAAAAATAACAATTTATTAAAGATGCAAAATAGACAAAAACTACACAAAGCTCGTTTCTATACCGACCTAGAGAGAGTTTCACAGTGCTTTCATACCTTTGTATACCTTAACGATTCTGAACGATCCAAGGGTTATAATCCAGTTTCGGCACAAATTATATAAAATTGCGACTTAAGCGCTGATTTAATTCAAGGTTCATCGGAGATCGGAATTCAGCGGGTTCGGAAGATCGGCGCGATGTCGTCTATCTGGCATTTGAGAAGAGACTCCCCCAAGAAGGGGTAAGAACGGCCTTTTATCTGTTTTAGTGGGGACTTTCCACCACATGATTTGATGTACATAGGTTAGGGGTTATAGGTGTTCCTAGGAACTACAACAAATGACGACATTTAGGTGCTAACTATCAACCTTTTTGCAAGATGAGATGCAAGTTCTGCAAAGAACAATGGATGTTGCTAGTTATGACCGGAAAGTTTACACAATCCCGGGCAAGATCGTTTTTTCTTCTAGCGCGTTACATAAACGAAAGTTTAATTAATTAACAATTTTGTTAATAAAGGATCGGAATGTTCATCAATAAAATTCCGGATCTCACACCAGTGTTTTAACTGCCTTGGCCATCCAGTCAACAGTTAAGATATTGACATACTTTCTTGGCAGTTATAGAATATAACATAAGAAAAGTATGGTGATCAGTCAAAATTTGTCCCCCAAGTGGTTTTTATTTTTCTGATTCTTTGATACTCCAATAGCCCAAACATGTAAATGTCTAAACCTCCTTACAGAAAATTTTGAGCACATGTGTCAGTATCTATTTTACATACTTCAAGATTGGATAATCCAAAAATTTTGAAATGTAACAAAGTTATTTATACTGGGTGATTTGTTTTTATGAAATTTTTCACATAAAAAATGAATCATTCTGTATACACAGAGCATTTATTAAATTTGGATTTCCTTCCCAGTCCCTTTAAACTCCAGTTTGTCGGGAAAATTGAGCACGTCCTCGCCAGTTTATATTGTAATGTAAAGAACCTGAAGATGTTCTACATTACACCAAAATTGTTTAATATTGATACATGTACCCCAGTAATTTGATCTTAAACTTTAAAATCAAACATATCTGTCATTTATTTATATATAAATAATTATTTGTTATATTTATAAATAATTGAAATAAAACATTTCTTCAGAAATACCTTAACTGTTGAAACATATTCAAGAGCACCTGGAACTAGGGACTCTAATTCTGGAAATCTCTTTGAATATTTATCTCTTGTAAATTTATGTATAATATCTGTAAATATATATAAATTGTAAAATAAGTCTATCAAATTATTATAAAATATTAATTATAAATGATTAAAATGATCACTTAAAAAGAAATTAAGTATTGTTTAATATTAATCAAAGTATTCTTTTTGATGATTTGCACTCTCTCAACATATGTACAAGTGCCAAACTAGAAGAATTCAAGCACAGAATGCTACCATTTTAAGTTATATTCATAAAATAAACTTATTTACTAATTAATCATTTTAAATTTCTGAAATTTAATACAAAAACTTTTAATATAAAATATTTTTCTTACTTACTGACTTCATTATCTATTTCCACGGCTAAATTATTAGCTTCGACAATTAACTGGTATTCAGGATCTGCTTCGACTGGACCTATTACTGAATTATCAAAATGAAAATATAATTAACATAGGAAATTAAATAATTTTAAAAATTTGTTTTAAATTGAAAATAATTGTTAAATAATGGCATCATCATAAAATTATTTTAGAAAGTACATGTTCTATGTACCAACTTCAAAAGGATAGTTCACACGATAGACTACTGCCATCATTTTGTTGCTTGAAATGGCATTATGCACATATTTGCCTCATTCGAACAAACTCATGACTTACTGGCAATCTTGGTTTGACGAGTCACAATTACTTTATGGGAAATCTGTCAGATTTTTCACTTGTTGCATCATCAAACCATTCAACGATGTGATAAAGTCAAGGTCACAATCACTGGAATACAATCAACATTGACGAAGTTGACCTCTCCCAATGTTGATTGTGTTCTGGCGATTGAGAAAGAACATTTAAGACTTCAAACATTATTTTTATATAAAGTCTTCAATGTTGTATATTTTTCTTACATTTTTTAAAATACACATTTCGTCCTGGATTTTTAAAATATTTTTCCTTAATAAATATGTATTTACAGGATCTTCCAAAAAGAAATCCACCGTTTTAAATTATTGTAATTATGTTAATTATTATCCAAGAACATATTAATGTACATTATAATATTAGAAAAACGTGAAAGTTTCACATTTGCCCATTGCAATTTCTCAATGTGCGCCCTTGTGTCGTGCAGCACACATTCAACTGATATTCAAATTCTTCTTTTGCTACAGTATATCCATTGTCACTCTTCCTATGGCAATCACAATTCTACAGCTCCTGCAGATTAGTATATTGCACAGTGACTAGTGATTCGAACTTTGTGAACTGCAGAACACAAAATATAATTTCTGTTGCAGAGTCACTGTTTTTATTTATGGTGCTTCCAAGAGGTAGTACATTTGAATGCAGATGGGAGATGAAACTATCAATTGGTATATTTCACATACTTCTCAAATAATAAATGTAATCACAGTAATTAAGGGCAGAATATTTAAAATAATAATAATAATAATAAATTTGAATATAACAATTCCATTTATAAAACTGTTTAATAAGACATGAAAATTTAATTATTATAATTAAATCGTTTAGAAAAACAAAACAAACCTTCATCTATTCTTTCATTTTTACTTCTAACTTCTATTGCTTTCATTATTTTTTCTAACTGAAAGAAATTTGATAATAATGAAATAAATAAAATGGCAAAAATAAAATAGTATTAATACTGTATTATATTTAACAATTTCAATTATTAGTAAATTATTTTTAGAAGTTTGCTTTGGTTTGATAGGTTAAGGCAATATGACAAGTCAGCAATCTGCCAAGGAAAAATGCCACCTGGGAGGACTTTCTACAGGAAACTTGTCCATATTTAAACATTAGACACGTGAAGAAAACTGGAAAAATTCTTGTGGCCAGTCCACTGTTGAGGTGTAAACCCATGACTAACTACCAGCATTCAGTGTTTTATCCCTCAATCCCTGATGGGCTTAGATTTTTGGAAATAATATGTCTAATTAGCATTTATTTAAATAAATCTTAATATAAAAATGATTCATCAGATGTAAAGATTCAACGTGACATTTTCGTTGATCTGATAAATTTGAAGGGGAACAAATGTATTAATTTTTATTATGTAGTTTTGTTTAATTCATAATTTTCCTTAAGTGTAATGAAAAAAACTTATATATTTAATGATTTTTGTGATATTACTAACATAAGGAATAATTCACTATTTAAAAAATTCTATCACACATTACAAGTATTTAAATCAAATTAAATATAGACTTGCAACTTCAACTTCATTTTTGTATTAGCATTTTTGTTCTTTGTTTACCAAACTGAGTTCAAATTTCCAATTCCAGTACTGACATTTGAGTTGCAATTTTTAATGGAAACATCTTTTGCAGAAGAAATACTGCAGACATTACAATGTTTTTCTTACAGTCTTGTTTTTACAGAATTAAAATGAAACAGAAAACTTATGGCTTCTGTGGTTTGATACTGAGAGGAATTAGACTCATATAGTCAATATTTTGAAACTGGCTTCCTCAATTTATCTACATATTGCTAATAAAATTTTATTCTAAAATAGTTTGACTTACTATCATATACATTAACAAATTTATAAAACAAATCTCTACTAAATTCATTTAAAAAAGCCCAAAGACATTTGTTTTGATTAAATTTAGTAGTGCCATGATTTATGTCACTAAAGGTTAACTCAGTTGCAGAAAGTAACATACATTCTACAACCAAGTTAACCAACACATTTATTAGAATATTAATCAGAATAATTTAACTCCATTCTGTTCAAATGACAAAAGTTGAACACAAGGTTTCTTCTATGGGCAATCATTTACATTAATATAAAAACACTAAAATAAAATTCAATTAAATCATTAAATGTATTTTGATTATATAAAAGTATTCTAAATTGATCTTTGGTAAAATAAAACAAGAAGCGGAAAACATACTTCTTCGCTGTCTCTTAATTTTGCTATGGCACGAACCGACATCAAAGTAATTTCGGGTTCCATGGCAATATCGTCCACTTCCTGGATGTTGGCATCCTGATGAAAAAACTGTTCGTCATCATTATCTCCTGCATCTTCCAAATCCGCTAACAGTTCGTCGGCCAGAGACATCTTTAATAGTATTAATTATTCTGCAAGAAATGAAGAGAAATGAAAGCAATGATTGCATACAATTTTTAATATTCAACTATATAATGATCATAAATTTAAAAACTTGTTACAGAAATCATATTCCTTTAACAGAATGTAAAATACTGACTAAGTTTTTAATTTTTGAACTTAATAAATATAATTGTGATTAATTTGATGTTAATTCAGCATATATAATTGTTCATTTATTGTATATTGATCTTTACATAATTAACCAATAGTTGCAAAGTCTTGTTCTTTTATTCTTCTCATCCTGTGAGCATTAAAAAGATCCTTTTTACACAGCCTCCCATTGTGGGATCAGCCAAACCCAGAATGGTGAGGCCGAGTGGTGATGGACAGGACTAAGATAGACCATCCCAAAAAAATTCCTAGGATGTTTCAACTGCCCAAATTAAATCCCGGGTCACCAGAGCAGTAGGCCAATGCTTAACTGCTTTGGTCATCTAACCTTCAATTAAAGTATTAACTATTAAAAGAATAACCTGAAGATTTATATTTACTTTTACCATCCTGTATACCAGCAGTGGTCAAACTGTAGTCCCCATGAACAAATTTGACACACCACTTATGATAGAAATGTGCATAAATTTAGTAATACAGTGATTCCACTTAAATGGGACAAGTTGGGATTAATCCATTTTGGTCCAATTAAGCAGCTACCCCAATTAGAATGAACTAATAATAAATTCTGAAATAAAATATGTAATATGCAAGTAAATGAATAAGTAGGTAAAAATAATAATAATTAGGTATCTATTTTAATGCTTTATTAAACCAGAAATACAGAAAATATTTGTACTATAAATTTGTCAAACTCAATTTGACAGATAACTGATTCAGTATCACATCATTGTTGTCAAATACAGTATTAGTAGTGGCGTACACAAGAGTTGACTGTTCGATCAGGAATGGATCGAACAATCTTTCCTTTCTCCTTTTATAGTTAGAACATGTCAGAGTTTGCCCAAAAGTCACCCTATGGCTTTCTTTGAGCACAGTTTCCTTTACTTGGAGATGGGCCACTTCGGCTGGAGTGTCTTAAAATCTGCCAGCTTTGGATGCTGGTCCCAACGATTAGATGGCTGCTGAATGTCTAGACATAATCATGCACACAACACCTTCCAAGGGAACTCTAGCTGTCTTCCAACTTGGTCAAGAGACTGCAAAAAATTGTCCATGGAGTCTTTGTCTCTTCGCTTTTAAGGGAATCATCCAGTCCAATCTGGAGCAGGGCCAGTAGCTTGCATTCAGGTCTGTCTCATATGGGATCCCGGTGTGATACGTCCCGCTATGCTGACCCCTCCAGAAAAACCAAACCGCCCAAGTTGAAAGATAAAATGATTCTCTGTCAACTGTTAGGCCTACATGACATTAGTGTACATAGTGTTGACATATTTTTGGAAGATCCCTAAAATATATAAAAAATTGCTAAATTTTTTTTCTGCTACTGTCCTAATTAAGCGAAAAGTTGTCCCAATTACGCATTTAAATTATGTATTAATTTATTAGTTTAGTTGCCATTCTTTGAGGTTTGGCCCAATAAAGTAACTGCCCCAATTAACCGGTGGTCCAATTAAACGGAATTGACCGTATATAAAAAACATTTAGGTAATGTTTAATACAAGGAATATAAAAAATATCTATGGCTTGCCTTATGTGCAATTAGGCCTGCAAACCAAGAAGTTTGGACAACAAGTAAGATTCTAGCTCCAAATGAGTGGTTTCACACTACCATGAATTACCAACCCCCTTTACGAGCAAAAAAGTCAAAGGAACCATATCTGTACATGTGACACTTTGTAAGATATTTGCCTCCAAACGTCAGTTTTTAACATGTATCAGTATACTGTCTATTCTCCATGCTCTGCATCAAGGTGAGCAATAGCAAGCCTTGACCGATGCTCTGCACATGGTCATGCACGTTAGTGCCTGGATGAGGGAGAGCTGCCACACCCTCTAAAACTATATAACATCAAGTCAAGTGGGATACTCACAACTGGTATAGTCGCGTGGGCTAAATAGTTAAATGCAATAGTCTTAGCACAGCAATGCAACTTGCGAGACCCGATTTTGGAGGGGCTGTAACTCACAAGGGGTCACTTGTAGAGATATGGTTCCTTTGACTTTTTTGCTCCTATGGGTATGCTCTACAGCTCTGATAAGATCCCAACAGTCTTATTCAGAGCTTGAATTCAGCAGGACGACATTACCATATACCAGGGGTCGGCAACCTTTCAGCAGTGTTGTGCCAAACATAAGTTATAGTGTTATTCTGAGTGCCAATATAATTCTACCAAGTTTATTGTATATGTTATCAAAATAAGTCCAGTTATAATGGACTTCAAAAATGTATAATTTTGAAGTTAAGTTGTTAATTGAATTACATTGTTACGTGTAAAGCGCTTGCATAACATGTAGATGGAAACATGGAGCATAAACGTATGCGCTGTAATAGAAATATACAAAAACAGAGATTTGTTTTTAATATATCATGGCCTTCACTGAATTATGACTTCCATTTAATTAAATGTGTAATTAATAATTAAAATATAATTTTTACTATATTTCTATTCAATCAGTGCGCCACTGAAAATCGTCCTGCGTGCCATGTTTGGCACACATGCCACAGGTTGCCGACTCCTGCCATATACAATACAAAATAAAAAGAAAGGTTTGGTCATGCACAGCTATTTGTTAAATTGTAAATTTTGGCTATCAAATGGTTCGCATTCACACTTCTGATGTTCCTCACAAAACACAATCTCTATCCATCCATTTGCTTTCCAATCACAAAAATAAGACATATAATTATATTCGTTCCACTGTCAGAAATTAAAATTCTATTATATCTTTGACCAGGGGTAGATTTAGGGTAGTGCACAAAAATAACTCTATAATGGTGAAATTCCAATTTATATCCAATAGATAATCAAATTATGTTAATTATAATTTAAAAGATAATGCTTTATACAGGATGTAGCTCTGTGTAACTCTCAATTAACTTCACACTTTCATTTAATAAGCAAATGAAGCATGAGTTACTTTTAGATAAATAGCACGTACACTTGTATACATATCATTTGTCTAAAAGTAACTTCTTCTATAAACAATTGTATAACGTTTTAAACTACTTCCACGTAAGCTAATAATATAATAAATCATCTAAAATTGAGATTTTTATTAGATTCAGCATAAAATATCTTTCTTAAACAATTATAAACACTTACCTCCTCCTGCCGTTTCTCAAAATACGCGGTTACTGCGCCCTCTATNGGTACAGCGCTGTCCAACTGGCGGCCCGCCAAATAATTTTTACGGCCCGCGAGTACATTTTACTATGAATAAATTTATGTTACTAAATTATTATTACTAATATTAAAATTATTTTACTACCGTGTTTCCCCGAAAATAAGACTGTATTATATTAATTTTTGCTCTGAAAAATGCGCTAAGTCTTATTTTCAGGGAATGTCTTATTTTATCCAGGAAGAAGAATTCACATTTATTATTGAACAAAAAAATTCCCAAGTCGAACTTAGACGAGAGTGACATATATCCGGTGTGTCGAACTGTCGCCTTTTTATAGCGTCAACATCGGACTCGCTGACCAATTAGTGCTTACTAAACCGTACCACTATGCAAATGTCATGTGGTTTATCAACATTCTTGGCCCCCGAAATGTTTGGTGAAGAAAATATGGCCCGCGGGCTATGATAAGTTGGACAGCGCTGCCTTATAAGATACTGTTGGAATGTTTATCGTGACTTCATTTTGGCAATTTTGGTTCCTTTTATTTTGAGAATCTTTTTTTAACGTGACCCGAGAGAGCTATTTTATGTTAAGAACGTTGATGGTATGGTCAATCGTCTCCATTGTGTTTATAAAGTTTCTAGTGAGAAATTCAATATTTTTGAAGAAATTGTCTGAAAAATTTAAAATTTTCAGGAGTTATTTAAAATTTATTCTTTTATTTTTCTATTAAACTTAAAAGAATTCGAAAACTACGTTCATCATCCCATTGTTTTCTATTAAGTTTTACAGAAAAACGTTCAATACTTCATATATCTTCTCAGGAGAGTCGCCATTTTGAACTGAGATTATATCCTTTGCTTCGTTCCACATCTTGTAGCTTTATTTCAAGAAACATAAGATGGAAGAACAGGAAAATTTCATAATTTATTTTTCTACACAAGTTTTTGAAATCAAACCGTTCAGAAATAAAACCGGCAGTTTTTTGGGGGGAAATATTTTCTTATAAACTTGGAAACGTTTTCATATTTCCATTTGTGACTTATGTAATAAGGGTAAGATGTAACGCCACGTATCAATCTGGGCTGTTGTACAGTATATTGTAAAGACAATACATTCTTTATACCTTATAACAGCGCTGTCCAACTGGCGGCCCGCGGGCCGTATACGGCCCGCCAAATAATTTTTACGGCCCGCGAGTACATTTTACTATGAATAAATTTATGTTACTAAATTATTATTATTAATATTAAAATTATTTTACTACCGTGTTTCCCCGAAAATAAGACAGTGTCTTATATTAATTTTTGCTCTGAAAAATGCGCTAGGTCTTATTTTCAGGGAATGTCTTATTTTTTCCAGGAAGAAGAATTCACATTTATTATTGAACAAAAAAATTCCCAAGTCGAACTTAGACGAGAGTGACATATATCCGGTGTGTCGAACTGTCGCCTTTTTATAGCGTCAACATCGGACTCGCTGACCAATTAGTGCTTACTAAACCGTACCACTATGCAAATGTCATGTGGTTTATCAACATTCTTGGCCCCCGAAATGTTTGGTGAAGAAAATATGGCCCGCGGGCTATGATAAGTTGGACAGCGCTGCCTTATAAGATACTGTTGGAATGTTTATCGTGACTTCATTTTGGCAATTTTGGTTCCTTTTATTTTGAGAATCTTTTTTTAACGTGACCCGAGAGAGCTATTTTATGTTAAGAACGTTGATGGTATGGTCAATCGTCTCCATTGTGTTTATAAAGTTTCTAGTGAGAAATTCAATATTTTTGAAGAAATTGTCTGAAAAATTTAAAATTTTCAGGAGTTATTTAAAATTTATTCTTTTATTTTTCTATTAAACTTAAAAGAATTCGAAAACTACGTTCATCATCCCATTGTTTTCTATTAAGTTTTACAGAAAAACGTTCAATACTTCATATATCTTCTCAGGAGAGTCGCCATTTTGAACTGAGATTATATCCTTTGCTTCGTTCCACATCTTGTAGCTTTATTTCAAGAAACATAAGATGGAAGAACAGGAAAATTTCATAATTTATTTTTCTACACAAGTTTTTGAAATTAAACCGTTCAGAAATAAATAAATCTACGAGTATAACTTATATTTGTTTTTAAACTATAACAAGAATTTTTATATAAAAGAAATACAAAGGATATAACATTCAGAAATACTTGGCTGGGTGACACTACCGTATTTTCAATTCCGAATGAACTGCTTCTTAATTACATAATTAATATTATCACATTCATTTAAATTTTTAATGAATGTGCAGAACTTTAATATGGCGATTGTCTCGTGCAAAGTTAAGCAATTCAAACGTATGGTAGTACAGTACTAATACCCTTCACGTTGTAAGTTGTCGTTTCTGTAGAATTAATAATAATTTACAATAGCTGTTATTAATGTAAATCTATGAGGGATGGCTTCATTTAATTACTTGAATCGCCGTATTAGTGCCGTTGGGATGTTTCTGTAGAAATTTCTATTGATAAGGTGATAGCTGCGTATTTCTATTATTGGTAAGACAGATAGAAGAAGCTGTCTTGCCGAGAAGCCGAATAATAAAAGCAGAGAATTACTGTAAAGTTTAATGAGATTTTCTTAACAGCTTCGATGAAGTATATTTAAATAGTAAGTAACAAAATAAAGAATTTACAGAATTAAAGTATTAAATGAATGATAAAAATAAAAGTTTTCTGAGTATTTCACGCTTTATCGGAAGACACGGGTTCGGATCCGACGACTTCCGATCAAAGATTTTATCCGCATTATTTTTTCAAAATGATTATATTAACTGTGTATGATTTTGGTGTAATTTGTTGGACAACGTTTATTAATATTTGTTGGTCCTTATTGAAGAACAAGGCCACGTCTTCAGCAAAAACAGTTGATGGTTCGATTGTTATTGCATCAATTTAAGCATTAAGCTGGCTACAACAGTTGCTATTGTGTTTAGGATATTTCTAACACGAAACCACCTCACCGAGTTGAATATATTGGGTGGATATGGATCCAATAAATCGTAAAGCACCATACAATCTAACATCTAAACAAAAATTCATTAACAGGTACCATTTTATTATCTCTCTTTTGCAATAATCATCGGTGATATTACCTCCAGTTTGCGTGTAGTATTTCTAATAATACTTTTCCTATATTTTTCATTTTTTCCAGTAATTAATAGTATTGCTTTAATAATGCACTAGATCCATACAAAAATCAGAAACTTTTTCGTAATGACTTTATGTGAAAAGCCGTATAATGACTAACCATTCCCTAAATATTCATGTCTTATGGTGGATTCGAACCCGGGAATCTGGAGAATTATCAGCAACGCCTTAAAATATTCTGCCGCCAAATGGGCAAATAATGGATCGAAATTTAACACATTCGACTATAACAATTAATTACATCATAAAATTATATTCGGCGATTGCCATTACGAATAAAAATAATTTTTTACCTTTTGACATTTAAAATTTGTTCGGATAATTGTTTGAAATTTTCCAGAGAAATTAATTAATTATAATATTTGTGTCAAATTAACTTGATAAAAACGCGCGGAAATATAACAGCCAAGTATTGTTCGATCGCGAATTAGTTCAATTGTTGACGAACAGATGGCGTCACAAACCTGATAGCAGTAACACGTGGTCTTCTATCAAGTTCTTAAATCTTCAGGAATCGCTTCAAAGAATGATTATTATTCAAGTTTTGTAATGGAAAGAATACAGAAAACATGTTCGAAAACAGTAGTATACACACAGTGGATCATGTATCGGAGTGTATTTTCTTTATGGAAGAACCATTTTTCATACTCTGAAATTAGAAAAAAAACTCATAATAATGATTTATTTATACGTACAAACACTATTATTGTTGTTAGTACACATTCATACACATATCAGGTAACTAGTAGTGTATAAACAAGCATCCTTTGAGTGTTCCTCCGTGTTCTAGTGTATACGTAACGCTTGTGTTGTATTGTGTATATGTGCGATCTGCAGAGGGGAATACCTCCAGGGTTGACTTTCTATGGGAAACTGGTCCCTATATAGGTGTTACTGACCCGGCAAACTCCACTTGGCCAGGCTCGAATACAGGACCAACCACCAATGTTCGGTGGTTTTATCCATTCGGCCACTGGGTGTTAGAAAACAAAAGAGCCAATTGTTTTTTAGTTAAACAATAGCCTTGATAATGTGTTACGACATACCGAATGATGATAGATATCGCTGTTGATGCACATTAATGTCATACTTCTTTATAAAACTTACAGGAATTTATGGAAAGATTTCCTTCCGACTGAAAATTCTGGCATTCGGCATCATCCTACAGGATAATTTTGTTTATAGGATAGTTACAGATTAAGGCAGCGTAAGCGGATCGAGGATTGGTTATAGAAGATTTCATTTTAATTCAAAAAAAGAAAAAAAATATTGTAGAATTTGGGAATATATCAAATAGAAGCTTGGAAATTGTTTTCGTTTTCCTTGTAAAAGACTTTATAAAGTTATATTTTTAATAAATTCTACAAAAATTTGTGAATTTTAGTTATCGAGCATTGTTTTTTTTTATATGAAACCTGCAACAATTCCCAAAAATTACGTCAGGAACTGAAGAGCAATGACAATTAATTGAATAAATGTGTACAGCAATCTCAGCAAATACTTTAGTGATGTCAACAATGGTGAACAATTACAAACTTAACGTGTATTTACTGTATATAAGTGAATTATATAAGATACTTTTATATAATACCTGAACTAAATGATTGATATTTAACGAAGTAAACCAAATTTGTATGATAAATCGAGCGTTGAGTTAATCTATACGGGTTAAGATTTTTATATTTTATAATACAGAGCGTAAAAATGGCGTTGTTTACTTTCAAATTAATGGAAATTTCACGATTGAACTTATAAAATTCGTAATTTACGTCGATATTGTGTTTTATTATATATTTACTTTATATGAAGCTTGTATCTAACGTAATCATTTCAT